GATTGAGGTTGCTGTATTGGACAGTGTGGGTCTGGATTTAGTCACATTGCTCTACCAATTTGTGGGTGGATTGGCAAAATATGATATCCTGTGTATCCAGAAAATGTTAGTGAGCACTAGTAATGTCTGTTCACACAGTCAGGGTGAAGAGAAAGAAAGAATTTAGATTCTCTATGATTATTATTAAACTACTAATTGAAGCACATCTGTAAATCTTCTAAGGTAGCAGTTTCTACTTGTAAACGACAGAAGTGTCACATATAGTTAAGCCAGGTTGAAATGACTTATTCTGTTATTTGAAAAATCCCTTCAATATAATTTTTCATTGCATAAGTAAATATGTATTCAATATAGAAGATGAGAAAATATAGATAAGTTAAAAAGAGAAATGAAATGTGACCTGGAATCTTAGAGGCAATATTTTTGTGTATGTTCTTCTTAGATAGATGTATTTGAATATGTGTGTGTGTGTGAGAGTTTAAAAGTACATGTGTGTAAGCAATACATAGGAACTGCTATGTACTGAATTGTATCCATCTGCCTCATAAATACATAAGGTATCATTTTCAATTGTTGTATAATATAGGTTGAACAATCCTTAGCTGAAATGGTTGGGACAGAAATGTTTTGGATTTCAGATTTTTGTCAGATGTGGAATGTTTGCATATGCATAATGTGATATCTTGGGGATGGACCCCAAGTCTAAAAAAAATTATTTACATTTCATATGCCTTGTATGAAGGTAATTTCATACAATATTTTTTAGTGTGTTCACATTTTGTAGCCCACCACATGAGGTCAGTTGTAGAATTCTCCATCTGTGATATTGTGTTATTAATAAATACTTTCAGATTTTAGAGCATTAAGATTTTGGATTTTTGGATTAGGGATACTCAACTGGTACTCCACTTTATGAAGGTCTCATAATTTATGTAACATATTTTATATTATAGGCTGTTCAGAATATATCATTGCATAAACTAGGAACAGAGGAGGTGTCTATTTTGGATTTATATTATACCTTCTTATCTAAAACAAAAACAAAGAGTATTTGGAAATCTTGTTATGTTAGTTTTCTGTTGCTGTGACAAAATACCTGAGAAAATCAACTTAAAAAGAGACTCATAATTTCAGAGGTTTCAGTCCATGGTCACTTGGCTCTATTGTTTTGGGGCCTTTGTTGAGGTTAAACATCCTGGTGAGGAGTATGTGATGGAAAAAAGATGTTCACCTCATGACAGCCAAGAACAAAGAGAAAGTGAGAGAGGAAGGGGCCAGGTCCCAATATTTTCTTCAAGAACATGCCCCCAATAACCTAACTTCCTACAACTAGTCCCACTTCTTGCAGATTCCACCACCTCCCAACAGTGCCATCCACTGAGAACCAAGCCTTCAACATATGGCCTGTGGGAGACATTTAAGATCTAAGCCATAACATTCTGCCCCTGGTCTTTAAAGGTTCATGTCCATTGTACAAATGCAGAATTAATTCAGTTCCTCTCCAGAGGTCCCCAAAGCTTTAACAGTGTTAGCATTACTCAAAAGTCCAAGTCTAACATCTCCTCTAGGAATGGTGAACTCTTAGCTGTGAGCCCCCTGTAAAAATAAAAAGAACAAGTTACATACTTCTAGGATGGAATGAGAGTAAACATTCCCATCCCAGAGGGGAATAATGGGAGCATAAAAAGAAAGGCTTGGACCGAAGCAAGACTGAAACTCAGCAGGGCAAACATTACATCCTGTAGTTCCAAATCGGACCTCTGGGGCACATGATGGTGTGATATGGACCCCCAAGGACTTGGGTGGCCCACCCCTTTGTCAGTGTTCTCCCCGCCCTCCGTGTTTTTCTTTGTTTTCACCTTTTCTCTTTTCACCTGGCCTCCTCTCCGTTTGTTGTGTGAAAACAGATACAAATGGGAATATACAATTCATCACAGTGACTGGGTAATTAGTAAAATAAGAAAAAAATCATTTCCTATAAAGTTGTTAGTAGTTTTTTTTTTTTTTACATGACTATCTTGTATTTGTTACCAATAATACTTACATACATTATTCAAGGTATTCGAGGTGTAACTAGAAGATAATTGGTGATATAGAGAATGGCAGATAAAGTTTAAAAAGATCTGTAAGCGAGGATGTCATGGTAAAGTGCAGGCTTATAGGAGTTTTATTTAAAAACAAAAAGCCAGTGCAAGATTAAAATCTGCACAGGAAAGAAATTGATTAAATGTGCTGAGCGGATCTGTTTTTCTTTATTGGCTGCTGTGACCGTTTGGCATTGGCACTGACCTCTGATGCTTGGCTTTCTGTTGTGTGGCTGTGGTAGGCATAGGGGTGATATTAAAAATATTTAACAACTGGTAAGGCAGGGGCACCAGCCAATGAGAAGAATCTCAGTCTGAGACCCTTTTGTGACTGAACCAGTGTGTTAGGGTTAGATAGCTGCCCTGAGTGAGGAAATAAAACAAAGAAACATATTAAAAAGAAAAAAGAACTTGAAGTTTTTGCTTATTTTACTCTAGAAAAAAGATTTAGGTATTGTTTATTTTTTATTTTAATCTTGTATGTGTTTCCAATGACACTGTGAGGAAATTTATCTTCCACATAAATAAACAGTAAATCACTATTCTCTTTCTGTAAAATACTATCTAAATTCATAGAAAAGGATTAATATATTGAATATTTGAATGATTCTTACAATTCTACATAGAAACAACAACAACAACAACAAAGGAAATATAAGCAGGCCTTTCAGATACACACACAAAATACAATAAATGTAAGAAAAGGTGTTTCAGATCATTAATGGGCAAAAAAATGCATATTTATGAGACAGCTGCATTTTACTTAGCTAACATGTTAAATGAATAACTTGATTCTGGTACTTTTACTTAATGTAAACAAAAGTCTTTAAGGTGGGCACTATTATAAGGTCCATTGAGTAGGCAGGGAACCTGAGGCTGGGGGGTTTACATGCCTGAGGACATGGCTGATAAGTGGTATGGAGCAAAAAGCTCTTTTTACCTTTTGAGATTTGCACAGATTAAATGATACATAACAAAATGATTTGGGTAAACACACAAAGGGCTTTCATAAAGACGTTTAGTGTGCCATTATTTGTAATGCAAACAAACAAACAAGTAAAAACCCAAATTGAAGTGTTCTTCCAAAGGGGATTGGCAAAATATGTGAGGATATCACCATACAATGTAAGCTCAAGCAGCTCTTAAAAAGATTGAGGTCCTTAAAATTATTTCAGCTTATAAACTTGTAGTTTTGTTATATTATTCAGTGGGAGAAAAATTCAGGTCACAAAATAGCATGTAAATTATAATCCTAATTTTGTGAAAGGAATTCCCCTTAGTTAAGCAGAGAAAAATGTCTGATTGTATATGCTGTGCTTATCCTGGTGGAGGAATTATAGATTATATATATTTAGAGTCTATTGGTTTATATTTCTATATTATTTGAGTGTTCTTTTTATTTTTTGGTACCAGGGATTGAACCCAGGGGCACTCAACCACTGAGTCACATCCCCAGCCCCTTTTTTGTGTTTTATTTAGAGACAGGGTCTCACCTAGTTGCATAGGGTCTTGATAATTTGCTGAGGTTGGCTTTGAACTCATGATCCTCCTGCCTCAGCCTCCTGAGCCACTGAGGTTACAGGTGTGTGCCACCACACCCAGCTGAATATTCACTTTTAATATAATTATGTGAAGCAGAAACAAAAAGCAAGAAATATTGTCAAATGCTAAAATGACAGATCACAACAAATGCACTAAAACTGCAAAACACCCCTAGGGCAGATGAGGTGAGTCAGAGAAGGCAGGCACAAGAGATCCAGATGATAAAAGACTTCACAGGATGGGGTTGTATAGAAGGAAGGCAGGAAAGATAGATGGGAGGGGTAAAGAGAAAGAAGAGCAAAGTGGAAGAGAAGGAAAGCAGAGTAAAGCTAGATTGGAGACGCAGTAGAACATTGTTCAAGGGTCAGCATGGCCCTGGTGGTAGCAGGGAAGATCCAATTGGAGTTTGGCTGATAATGTAGCTAAGGGTAGGGAAGATGGTTAAGAGCATGGGCTCTGGATTGAAGCAGTACTGATAGAGCTAATTGCCACATGTCTCCCTATGGATCCTATCTTCCCTAATAGTAGCTTTCAACCATGTGACTCCTTCTTGTCACTGGACTGTGAGAGGGAGTGCTGAGGCCCTTAGAGGTTATAGTGCCTCCTTTACTACTCATATGCAGAACTAGTGATGGTACATGTTCTATGATGGTTTGGCTACAAAAAGGAGTCATCAATGCCCATGGGCCAGGATGTAATTGAGAAATAAATTTTTTGTTGTGTTAAGACTCTGAGATTTGGGGGTTTGCCCATTTCAGTAGCGGGGTGTTTGCTCTAATGTGCTGTCATGTATTAGCTGTCTGACTCTGAACAGATTATTAACTCTCTGAACATCAGCTATTTCACTTGTCAATGGAAATAATAATGGTATCTATCTCATAGGGTAATTGGAGGATTACATGGGAAAGTGTACAGTGTTAGGCACAAAGTATTCAATATATGTTAGCTGTTATCATGTACAGAAGGAGTCAATAAATAAATCCCTCCAAATGGGCAGCAACAGGCCAAGTAAATGTGAACAGATGATAGCAGGGATCATCTAAGAAAATATTGTGAGACATAGTAACAAAAGTCAGGGAATCTGAACTGTGAAGAAAGAGGATTGAGGATATAGACCCAATACACCTGGGTAGTAAACTGTTGCTCCCTGTTGGAAGAAGTGTTTATTATTTGAATGAAACACTCATTTGTAGGGTTGACTTATAGAGATAAGGTAGTTAAGATTAGTTGCATATCCATAAAAATGCTTACCAAATTTTTATCATAATGAAATTATAATTCCTTTCCTAACATATCAGTTTAAGTGGCCATAGTAGGTGTTAGATATGCCTAATTTTATCGACTCATTGGTTGATGTTTTTTTTTTTTTTTTTTAAAAAGACACATTTATTCAGCGTCATGATCAGACTATTACATTTAGCAATCAACAGCATGGGTACAAAAAAAAAAAAAAAAGTCTACATTAAAACCCTTTGTTGGAATGCTTTACACTTTCCACAGAACAGAAACTAAAATATCCTGTTATACAATTAGTCACAAATACAGTCCTCGAGTTTTTTTTTGCCCATACACATGAGTATTGTCTAAACCATGTCTTCTTTGTAGCAGCTAGGCCCTGCCACCACTGTGCTTGGCTGAGTTCACAAATCTGTTGTAACCTGTAGCTCCCCTGTCACTTCTCTGGCTCTCCTCTCCTGCTAAGCTTTGTTTCCTGGCAGTATTAAAACCTTCTGCCACTGCCATAGCTACTGCTGCTGCTGGAACCGCCATAGCCACCTTGGTTTCGTGGTTTGGCAAAATATTGGCCTCCACCACCGTAAGGTCCAGAGCTTCTGCCTCCAAAGTTTCCACCCTTCATGGGTCCAAAATTTGATGACTGATTGTTGTAACTGCCAAAATCATTGTAGCTTCCACCACCTCCAAAATTGCTTCCATCATTACCAAATCCATTGTAGCCATCCCCGCTGCCACCATATCCACCACCACCACGACTGCCACCAAAGCCACCACGACCACTGAAGTTCCCTCCACGACCGAAATTGTCATTTCCACCAAAACCACCTCCACGACCACCACCGAAGTTTCCAGAACCACTTCGACCTCTTTGGCTAGATGAGGCACTAGCCATCTCTTGCTTTGACAGGGCTTTCCTCACTTCACAGTTGTGGCCATTCACAGTATGGTATTTCTGAATGACAATCTTATCCACAGAGTCATGGTCATCAAAAGTTACAAAAGCAAAGCCCCTTTTCTTTCCACTGCCTCGGTCAGTCATGATTTCAATAACTTCTATTTTCCCATACTGTTCAAAATAATCTCGTAGGTGATGTTCTTCAGTGTCTTCTTTAATGCCACCAACAAAGATCTTTTTCACAGTTAAGTGGGTCTTTGAGAATCTTCTCGTGAGACAGCTCTCTTTGGTTCCACAACTCTACCATCCACTTTGTGTGGTCTTGCATTCATGGCTGCATCCACTTCCTCCACAGTGGCATAAGTGACAAACCCAAAGCCTCTGGAGCGCTTGGTGTTTGGATCTCTCATTACCACACAATCCGTGAGTGTTCCCCATTGCTCAAAATGGCTTCTCAGACTCTCATCAGTTGTTTCAAAGCTCAGCCCTCCGATGAATAGCTTCCGCAGCTGTTCGGGCTCTTTAGGGGACTCTGATTTAGACATGACGGCAGCAGGAAGACAGACTTTAACGATGCTTTCTCGGCGGCGTCCACGGGCCTAGTTGATGTTTTTAACTATTTGGTTATCTAAGTTGTCTTGGGGCAGGGACTCCAGGACCACCTGTTCTACATTATGTAATTAGGGTAGAGGGAAGCCGTGAGCTGCTCAGTGTGTGCTCCTGTGGTGGGAGAAGAATGTTGTATATAAATCTAATAATTATAGCCTATGTTGTATTCAAAATAATTTGATAGATCTATTCTTTCCTTCTCCTTTTTCTTCATCTCTTTTCCTTTTAAAGAGAATACATTCGCATTTAGTAAGTATAACAGATATCTTATTGAGACCCCATTGAGTTCCATAATTGCATAATTTTTATTTTTTTTTTAAATTTAAAATTTTGTTTATTCTAATTAGTTATATATGACAGCAGAATGCAGTTCAATTCACATTACACAAATAGAGCACAATTTTTCATGTCTCTGGTTGAACAAAAAGTAGAGTCACACCATTCATGTTTTCACATATGTACTTACGGTAATAATGTCCATCTCATTCCACTGTCTTTCCTACCCTCATGTCCCTCTCCTTTGCCCTATCTAAAGTTCATCTATTCTTCCCATGCTCCCCCCATCCCCATTATGAACCAGCATCCTAATATTAGAGAAGACATTTGGCCTTTGGTTTTTTGGGATTGGCAACTTAGCATTATATTCTCCAATTCCATCCATTTACCTGAAAATGCCATGATTTTATTCTCTTTTAATGCTGAGTAATAATCCATTGTGTATATATGCCACATTTTCTTTATCCATTCATCTATTGAAGAGGGGTACAACCAATATGGAAAGCAGTATGAAGATTCCTTGGAAAACTGAGAATGGAACCACCATTTGAGCCAGTTATCCCGCACCTCGGTTTATACCCAAAGGACTTAAAAACAGCATACTACGGGACACAGCCACATCAATGTTTATAGCAGCACAATTCACAATAGCTAAACTATGGATCCAACCTAGATACCCTTCAGTAGATGCATAAATTTTAAAAAATAAAATAAAATTGTTGATTCTGGCAGGAACAAATTGTTATTCTTAGTAGTGGCTACAAAAATCCTATGTAGGAGGGGTTTGGTGTGGTAATCTGGTTTGTCAGTGTGTGTGTTTGAATTTGCAAAATGCTCTTCTTGAGATTGAAAAAAATGTCCACTTTCTTAAAAAAAAGGTAATCCTTTTTGTTGGGAGGGTTTTAGGACCCCCCAGTCCAGCTTGATATGGCTGCTGCTTTCAGGAACTTACTATTTTGTTTAGTCCATTCTTTCAAGAAATGTTTACAGAGCCCTATTATCTGCTTCAGATACAGAGGTTAAAAAAAAAAAATCTGTCTCTAGGAAGTACAGCCCAGTGGAGAGACTAAGGGTGAGATGCAGGATTTCTGGGTCCTCCAGATACTCAAGAATCACAGCCAGGTTGTCAGAGGTTCCCTCTTTGCTCTGGCTAAATATTACAGTCACAAGGACCTGCCAATTTCAATTTATCCAGTTATCCCCCCAAAAGTGAATGGTTCCAAAAGGCATTAGTGTGCTTTAGAACAGTGGGCTTGCCTTATGATGGCGGTGAAAATTGGGAACAGCTGGCACCTCTGCCTACTCACAGCTACCAGTTCAATGCTACTTCAAACTCTCTTGGACAGTCTCTCCATTACAGCTCAGCAGAGTGAACCAGGACATCTTTTCTCTGGGCCCATCGGAACCTAGCCAGTATCTCTCTGATGCAACTATTCCCGTCTTATAAAATGATTAAACTTAAACCCGGACCAGCTATTTTTATTTGATTCTACAAAAATAGCTATCTGTCAGTCCCGGCTGGGAATCAAAGCTTCCACTCTTCAAGTATGCGCCCCAGTAGGCTTTGCCTTAAAATTTACTTCCCAGGCATTGGCATTTGGGGGCGCAGCTGGACCCTCCACGCCAAGACAGCGTGTTGTTTCATTGACAGCGGCTCCCAGGGAGAGGTAAAGGTGCTTTCGCAGTGGGATTATCCCCCTCCGGCTTGCATGACTAGATTCTCCCAGGTTGCGGGTAAAACCCCAGGAGGGTCCCAGGACGCACTTGGTGGTAGAGGGTAGCTCTAGGGCTTTGATGTGGACGCTTTCCTCCATGAATCGGCCCCTCCTAAATAAGGGGTGTGGATCCAGTTAGGAGCCCTCAGCTGTGCCAGAGTAAGGACCACGCCACCTTTTTTCCACCCCGCCCCTCCATCCCCGGTGTGACCACTTTTGATCCCGCTCCAGACAAAGCCGATCTGAACTCCAGCCGAATGAATAAGGGGATCAGGTTGCTCTCTCGGCCTCCCCTCACTTCCCTCCCCGCGTCTCCCCTTGCCCACGTGACTTTCTGGAATCTTTGCCAAAGCTCCGAGTCCCTGGGTCCATTTTCACACCAAGCTAAAGGAGGGAGGGAGAAGAGGAGGGAGGCGGAGACAGGCGGAGTATGTGTCCTTTAAATGCGGGGATCCAGACGGGGATCTATTTTGTGCATTTCCGGGCTCTCTAGCCTGGATAGCGTTGAGTTCAAGGGGGCTTTTCCAGCCTTTCTCCTTCCTCAGTGAATCTAAAATTCTGGCTCCTCCTCCACTCCCGTAATCGCACCTCCACCCTGCAGAGCAGCTCTGGTTGTTCTGTTAGGACGTGGGTGTCGGTGTGGAGCAAGCCGCGCCCCCGCAGCCCTTCTCACTCAGGCGAGGGGCGGGGCCGAGAAAGTAGCAGCAGCGCCCCCCGCGCCCCCCGCGCCTTCCTTGCAAGCCTTGGAACAGTCTGCTGCAGGGAGCGCAGCCCGGGACTGCGCGGTGCGGCTGCAGCTCCGGCGAGTTCCGGACGTGCACGCATCGCAACACAAAGTTTCCAGTCAGGGGCGCTGGGTGGCTGAGGTCCGCTGAGCTGGAGGTGGCCCTGCCAAGAAGTGGGTGTGAGTGGGTTTTTCGGGATTCCGGGAGACCCTTTCTGCCTACGCAGCGCGGACGCGGAATATCAAGCGAACTTTAAAAAAGCTAGTCGAGACGTACCAGCGCCAAGATCTTCACTGTTGGAGACCCCAAAGAGGACGGGTCTAGCCCCGGGGAAATGCTGCGAGAGCAGATCAGTCCGTGACCGGCAACTTTCGGGTAGACTTTGCAGTGGAGAACTACGCTTTGCCCCTTCTCGTTCTCCCAAGCCCAGCCATCGTCGGTGTCCTGCGGTCCGGGAGAGCTCGGTCAGCTCCCCGCCCCAGCAGTGAGTGAATTGAATCGCCCGCCGGATCCGGCGCCTCGGGGCTGATGTGAGCGTCGCTCTTGGCCTGTCCATCTTCTTTTCTCCCCGGAGGAAACAGCCCACTGTTCCCCACCCTCTGGGCGTCCCCGGCTCCGGGCGCCGAAACCAGCAGTTTGGCGGAGAGCCGGCTCTTGGATGCTGAAGGCTGCACTCCTCCACTGTGGGTGCCAAGGCGGCGATGGGTTTCCTCAAAGTGTGGCTCGGGGTGGCCGTAGCGTTGGCGGAATTTGCAGTATTGCTTCATCATTCCGAAGGTAAAAAGAGCAGTGGCGCGTGTGTGTGTGAGTGTGTGTGTGCAGTTTAAAATGCTCAGCAAGTTTTATGGTGTCGTGGGCTAGGTGGAAGTTTTTGTCTTTTACTTTCGGGGGTGGGTGGGAGTAGAACTGGAGTGGGCTTTTCTTTTCTTTTCTTTTCTTTTTTTTTTCCTGAGATTAGTTAGCATTCGGATCACAACCCCCTTCCACGGTCTCCCTTTCCACCGTAAGTCCTTTGGGTGGTGGCAGGTTGAGGTGGATCTTTTAAATCGGATTTTCTTTCCTTTCCTCTCCTGCCCCCGAAGGAAAAGCAACTACATAAAGCCTAGTTGCTCTTACGTTTGCAAAAAAAACAAAAAAACAAAAACAAAAAAAAAAAAAAAAACACGCCACCAAAACAAAACAAAAAACAAACCCAACTTCTGCTCCTATGAAACATAAAAGCTCCATCACTCTTGCTCCTTCCTGCCCCTATAAGTCTCCCCCTAAAGTCCAGTTAAGATTTTATAACTAGCTGATCAGAGCATGTTCTGGACGTAGGCAATTTAATTGTACTGAAATAAATCTCCCCGGTACGGATAGCTTTCCTCCTTCCCCAAAGGGGCGGGGGAAAGTGGTTAATAAGAGTTTAGATTACTTCCCTTATCCCTCCGCCTCCTGGTTTTCCTCCCGGGCTTCAACCTACAAGTGAAACCCTGGAGCTGAGAGAGGGAAGGGAGACAGCGAAGAGTTGTCGCCATGATATCAAACGCAATCTAGGCTTAGCCGAATAAATAAATCAATAAGTAAATTAAGAATTTTGGGGTTAAGGGGTGCAGGGCCAGGGACGCGAGGCGCTTTGAGCTCCCACCTGCTCGGAGGAGCCCGGGAAGTGGCCCAGTTAGTGTTTAAGGAGGGGGAGGGGAGCCGGCGGCTGGGAGGAAGAGGACTTAATCCACAGCACAGGGCGCTCTGCTTTCCTTCCCGGCTTCATTCATTATTCATCCAGCTGCGGGAAGAAGAGTTCACCTGCCCAGCCGCAAATTGGCTTCGCAGCCGCGGCGGCCAGCGCTGGGCGGGCCGCCTTCTCTGAGCTGGTGCTGGCAGGAGACAGTCCCCGACTGCTGATCCCTTGCCTAGGATTGGGGGCGTTGGAGGTCGGGGTAGGACAAAGCCCTTTCTTGGATCGACTTCCAGTCAAAGGAGCGGTGCCTCCTCTTTATTAGCTTCCCAAGAGAAAATGGTCTAGTTTTAGAAATTCACACATTGCAATGGAGACTTTCCCTACTGGTTAAGGTGATACCTTCCCTCACCCTCCTGGGGAGCAGGTGGAATGTATCCCATCCCCGGGAGAAGTACATCTAGGACCTGTGCAGATTTCTTCAAACGTGCAAAACCTGTAGAGAGAGAGAGATACTATGTATGCGAATGTGTATGCATACTTGAAAAAAAAAAGTCTAATTGCCCCAGACGGGAGAGACTGCCCAGGCCACCTAAATCTCAACTTAAGAC